TTTTTTTTTTTTTTTTATGACGTCCCCGCGCGGGGTGGGGCCCGGGGCGGGGAATTGGGGAGCCGGGCCGGGGGCGGGTCGGGGCGGGGTCCTCCGGCCCGGGCGGGGCGGAGGCAGGCGGACTCCCTTCTCGGGTGGTTCTGGGCGAGCGGAAAGGGAGGCCCCGCCGGCCGTGGGGAGGCGGGAGGGCGGAGTGAGAGCCCGGGCCCCCGACTGGCGGTGCCTCAGTTTCCCGTCCCGCGAGCAGAGAGTGGGGCCGAGCGCGGGGCGGGATGCGGAGGACCCGCGAGTTTAGTGGGACCCGAGGCTGAGGCGAGGAGGAACCGCGCTGCTCGCGTCGGTCGGACGAGCTGGACTCGCGAGCGGCGGCACCGACTCCCCGGAGAGGCTGGGCAGAGGAGTGGACCCCGCTTTCGGCACCCGCTCCGGCCGATCCCCCAGACCGATTACCCCCCGCGGACGAGCCCCGGGCCTGGCTGTGCCCTCACCTCCCCAGCTCTCCTTTCGTCCCGACGGCGCCTGGGCTCGGCCCGGGCTGGTCCTGGACACAGCCCGGGCTGGTCCTGGACACACGCGCCCCCGCCGGGGCACTTGGCGTGAGAGTGGAGCCTGGCTCCCCGGCCTCCGGCCTCCACATCCTCGGGGTGACAGCTCCCCGGCGGTGGGCGTGGCGCCGTGGCCGTGCGCAGGGCCGCCCACAGCTGCAGGGGTTGTGCCCGGACCCCTGGCCCCTGGCCGTGGCCCTTGTGAGGACAGGCAGGTAAACCTGCTTGAGGCAAAGAAAGCAAAATTCCAACGTGGGGACAGGGACGGAGGACTCTGAGGAGGATCCCTGAGCCGAGCTGCCTCAGGGCTGGGGCCTTGACTGGCTCACCTCTGCCCTGCACCCTGGGGGACCTGGAGCAGGCCCCTTGTAGGTGGAAAGGTCGCTGTGCCCTTTGTAAGGGTTCCAGGTGTTCTCACCGTCATTCTCTGTCATGCTCTGTGGCAGCTTGTTAGTAGATAGTACTTAGACTAACCGTGGTTGTCCCAGACAGGTTTCCCAGGATCTCCCTATGTCAGCCCCGCATCCCCACAAAGCATGGGGTGGGGGGCTGGTTCTGGAAAGGAAAAGGGAGGTGCTCCGGCAGGTGCCCCATGGGGCCTCAGCCCCCAGGAAAGTTTGCTCCTTGGGCTCTGAAATGTTCTGGGGTGCTGGTCATCTGGGGTTTCTGCCTGTCGTCTGTCCACAGCATCTCGATTTTCTCTTGGGGGCGTCCCATTCTTAGTCTGTAAGGTTCAGATTGGACGGCCCTCCGAACCTGGCTGTAGGGAGGGTCACCCAGTCCCCAGAGCACTCCGGGTCCCTTGCTGCAGTGGGTTGGATTAGGAATAGCACGTGGCTTATCTAGTAAAATGTGACTCCGGGACTTTTTCAGAGAACACCGGGCCCCAGTGGCTGAGCTGGGAGGGTCTGGGCCTGGAGAAATGGGACCATCTCACCACCACAAGCCTTGTCAACCCGCTTGGCACTCAGGAACCTGAGTCCCTGGACGAGAAAGTGCCATAACCCTGTGTGTGCTCCCGGCTCCAGCTTGGCTGGCCTTCCCTGAAAGCCCCCAAAATGCAGACTGATAAATTTCTTCTGTTCCTACTCAGCCGGTCTGACTTGGGCCTTCCCTTACGTGTCGCAGAAGAGCCTGCATTCAGATTGAAGTTCTGCGGCCACCTTGGAGATGGTCCTCAGATGCTAAGCCGAGTCCCAGTTTCTCTGTTCGACAAGTTACATGAGATGACGTCTGAAACGCTTTCCTCGTGGCTCCTCAAGAGGTTATGGACAGGCACACGAGAGCGTTTGGCTGCCATTCTGCCCACTGAGAAGGAAGACCTGATCTCAGGAGGCGGGGGGGTGGGGGGTGTGCAGGGGTGAAGCAGAAGGATGCTCGGGGAATGCGGCCTCAAGGGCGGGGACCTGGAGTCCAGAGACAAAGGCTTCGGGGCTGGTGTGCTCTGCATGCACCAGAACTGGCTTCAAGGCCAGCTCCGCCCCCTGGCTGCGCCCTTGGGGCTGGGTTCTGGTAGAAAATAATGCCCGCTTGGCGGCCCACGTCCTAATCCCAGCCTGTGATTATGTTACTTTCCAGGACAAAAGGGACTTTGCAGATAAGATTAAGAATCTTGAGATGGTGTGGTGGTTGGGCGTCTGCCTTCGACTCAGGTCTTGATCCCAGAGTCCTGGGGTGGAGCGCCCTGTCGGGCTCCCTGCTTGGCGGGAAGCCTGCTTCTCCCTCTCACTCCCCCTGCCTGTGTTCCCTCCCCTGCTCACTCTTTCTCTGTCAGATAAGTAAGATCTTAAAAAAAAAAAAAAAACTGAGATGGGAAGGGGTGCCCGGCTGGCAGTCAGTAGAGCGTGTAACGCTTTTTATTTATATTTTAAGATTTGATTAGTTTCAGAGAGCAAGAGAGGAGAGAGTGGCAGATGGAGAGGGCAAGGGACTGAGCAGGACCCTGGGATCATGACCTGAGCTGAAGGCAGATGATAAACCGACTGAGTCACCCAGGTGCCCTGAGCGTGTGACTCTTGATCTCAGGGTCCTGAGTTCAGGCCCCACATTGGATGTAGAGCTAACATTAAAAAAAAAAAAATCTTGATATGGGTTGTCTTGGGTCATACTGGTGGGCCCACTACTGAGAGGGTCAGAGTCCAAGGGATGGACCAAGCCTTTGAGGCTGGTGGTGAGGATGGGGGAGGGGGCTGTGGGCGGGGGATGTGTGGCCTCTGGGAGCAGGGTGGGAGGCAGGAGCCAGGGCCCCCGGGGCCGGGGTTTTAGGGTCTCTGAGCCCAGAACTGCCAGAGGGTCCGTGTGTGGTGGTTTGTTATGACAGCCACGGGAACTGAACACACTTACGTCTGAGTTTCACGGTCGTCCGCTGGAAAATTGATGGGTGATTCGTGAGCTTCCGTGCAGAAATCTAGGTGCTGGGGTGCAGCGGTGGTGAAAACCAGCAAAGCCCTCAGCCTGGGGAGCTGGGGGGAGAGTCATAAACAGGCTGGAAATTCGGTAGCAACAGTAGCTGTGAAGCGGGTGAGCGTTAGCGGGGGTGGGGGGCAGGGGGAGCACCATTCTGGAGAGGGGCCCATGGGGAAGGGGTCCCTCAGGAGGTGGCGTTGAGCAGAGACCAGAGTGGAGTGAGGAAGCGAGCCCACAGGACGGGAGGAACAGTGTGACAGAGAGTGAACCGCACGTACAACAGCCCTGCGGTGGGGACAAGTGGCTGGAGGCCCGGGTGCCTGGGGCCGATGAAGGGACACAGGCCAGAAAAGAAGCTGGAGAGTCCCCCGGGTCCGCTTTCTTCCGTGCTGGCTTCCTTCACGGGACTTGTGGGGGCAGAATTCAGATCCAGGTGCTCCCAGCTCAGCCACCGTAGAAACAAAGCCCAGGGCCGAGCACAGGGTTCCTGGAGCACTTGGATGGGCTGGTGGGCTGGGCAGGGGGGCCGTACCAGTGTGCAGGAGGAGAGGGTGGGATGGAGCTGGAAGGGGGCCGAAGAGGGCCAGGTGACGGGGCAGGAGGAGGACTGGCCAGCCCCGGACCTCAGTGGCCCAGGAGCTTCTATGGATACCACAAGCCCCAGGGGAGCCCCAGGTTCGGGAGGGTGACTGGAGGGTCTGTCCTGGGTACGGCAGGCCTGGGATGTCCTTGGGACGTTCCCAGAAGACAGCCGGCTGGCGGTTTGCTCTCGAGGGCTGGGCAAGGGACCCAAGCTACGGATTTGAGGACCCATGGGGTCCAGGCGGTCACTGAAGCCGTGGGCTGGTGAGGTGCTAAGAGGGGAGGAGGACCCGGGGAAGCACTGTGGGGTGGGGCGGGTGCACCTGGAGAGCAGGGTGGGGAGCTGCGGGAAGGGGGAGGTTCGTAGGGTTCCATGGCCCACACTGCTGTGAAGTCCAGGGAAGGGGTTCATGTCAGCTTCCCAGGACTCTGTCGGCTGGCAGAGCTCCAGCCAGGATCATGACACACGGGACTTCTGGACCCCAGATCAAGCAGCCAGGAGACCCGGCGAAGACGTGGGGGCAGTGGTCCTGGCTCCGTCTGATCCGGGGGGGCCCTGGAGCCTGAGCCTCCACCAAAGACATCTGAGACAAGGGGGCTGGCTCCGGTATGTCCTGGTCCTCACTCGTGGGCAACTCCTGCCCCACAAGGATGGGGGGAGCCTCCCGGGCTATGCAGCTCCCCTGCGCAGGGGAGACGCCCGCCACACGTTGCCCACCCTGGCTTCTGATGACTAGGAGGGAGTGGCCACCTCCGGGGGCCACGGAGCTGACTGGAGGTGGCCTTGGCCCCTGAGTCTCCTGGGAGTTGCCTGCCCCCCCCATCCCTGTCTTGGCTTCTGGGACAAGTGTGCACGTGACACAGGTGGTCTGCCTGTCTGCAGGCCTGACGCTTGCTTCCTGCTGCTGCCCAGCCCCGTGGCAGCCACAGTACAGACACGTTGGGTGCACCTCCCTTGTGGGGCCATGGCAGAGCAGAACGG